TCATTATTAGGTTATTTACATTATTATGTAAATAACAAAATAACTTAAAGCAAAAATTGGGAAACATAAAGTCCGAAGTCTTTATATTAAGGTCCATCAGTCAAACAATATTGTTTGCTCTGGGTCTAAACAGAGCGCGTTGTGTGTGACCGGGCTGCTTTGAGCGTTCACACTAGAGCGCGTTTGCTGTCGCATTTTATTTGTAGTGTGAACGAGCAGACAAGAAAATCGGTTTGATCAAAAAATCGGAATTGAGCATTAAGACCTGCAGTGTGAACGTAGCCTTAGTGCAGCTCACAGAGTTTACGGCTCCACCGTCACTATTAACAAAGTGTATAAACATAAGGATTGAATGTTATCCTTAAAAACAGGAGACTGTGTGGCAAAGGGAGCCCAAAGTGAAAGTGAAAAAAAGCAGCCCCCTGAATTCAGCGTGAACGTTAGCCAAGGCTGGCGGATAATGGGCGGATAAATTTCCCGCAATTCAATTTGATGAAACCACTCATGAGTCATTGTGTGATCAGAGCACATTCGGTAAAATTCCAAGTCTCTCCCTGGTTGTTTCACATGTGATATTAAAAATAACACACGGCTTTTAATACAGCAAGCGGATGCACAGCGTGTAGTTATTTCTCTTAATTTACAAGTAAACAACAACGACTAATTAATGTCTGTTACAACAAGAAAAATGTACATGAACATACAGAAGGTCCAACTTTGCCTTGAGGCCCAGCATCACCGGGGCGTCCAGTCAGACCCTGTCAGAGGAAGGAAGGAGAATTACTGGCTAAATCTGGATGAGTCGTCAGGCATCTCTTTGCAGACATATGCTAAAGAAAGGTGGGATTACAGAACATATGGCACCATGTGAGACTGATTTTACACCTCTGACTAGCCCCCTGTGCAGGAAGCAGCACCTGCTGATGGAAATGACTAAGAACGGAAACATGAATGAGAGCACATTGCTCACAGGCTTCATTAACTCTGTTTTCTAATTTCATTTTGGTGACTGCACACAAACAATCTACTGCTGCAGCTGAAATTAAATATTTGAGCGGAAGAGGAAGTACAACTTATCTATCTATCCATCCATCCATCCATCCATCCATCTATCTATCTAATATCTATGCATACAACACAGCTTGATCCATTTGAATGGTAATAAAATAATGGAACTCCTTCTTGAAAGAGAAACTAATCTACTAAACTTTGAGATTTGTGGAAATTTAAAGCACATTTCTGCAGATCACCAGCATCTATGCGTAATAACGCACTGTAGAGGAAGCACTTACTCTGGCACCGGGCAGACCGGGCTCTCCAGGGCGGCCGGGGTCACCGCTGGCACCTTTGGGACCGCTGGCTCCGGAGGGTCCACGCTCACCGGGGGCTCCCTGTATTATGAGGAAGAGTGTGAATCACAAGTCAAACACAGAGGACGGGAAACATCTCAAAGTTCAGAGGAGATGTGTTTCTCTTTTAGTAGGATGAACAAATTTCATTGACCTGCAGGAGATGAGAAGATTAAATTCAGACAGATTAATTGTGATATAAATGAAATAATATTTAATG